ATGGATTTTATTTTTTTTTTTTCTTAGAAGTTCTCAGAGCAGACCAGAACTCTAAAAACTATTTAATTAACTTAGAAAGAAACTAGGAAAGCCAACTTCATTCTGCTCTGAAACTGAGAAGCTTCTCAAAAAAAATGAAAAAGTCTTCATTACCCAACTGCCAGTTTCAAAAAGAGCTGCAAGGAAATCTGCAGGATTGGCAGACTGCAGCTCTATGTAAATGTACAAAAGTAAGCAAATAAATGTATAAATAAATAAGATTATGCCAGTGCATTTCAAGTTGCAAAAATGGAAACTATTTGTCTGCATCTACATAAGATGTAGGAGCACCATTGGAACATCAGGTTTATGCAGCATTTCATTCTTTGTAAGAAATACATCTTTAAATGTTAAGTGGAACTAGTTGGAAAATACAGCTGGAATTGTTTCAGGCTTGAGGGATGGATAAGGGTAATTGAGATGAAGGTCTGCCACTAATTAATTACCACAGCCACACTATTTATTTTGATCTTCAGAGGCAATTCAAGTATGGGTCAGCTTGAATAGAAATATCTCACTGGATCACAGCATACAGTGGAAAAAGTTACACAAAAGGCTCTTTGTTCATTAGAGTGCCAATAACAGTGGTAAAAAATAGATAATTTTAATGATCTTAGGAATTTCTAATAGGTATACACTGTAGAAGTGAAAGAAAAGCAGGCAGATAATGATAAGAGAATTTAAAAGGATGTTTTACCTAAGAATTCTTCCTTCTGTGCTGAAAGAGACAAATTCTTATCCCATACTAGGCATTGGATTTATAACTAATATGGTTCCTGTAGGCCACACCATTGCTATTATTTCTTTACAACTGAGAGTAGTTAGGTGTTTGATCGTTAAAATAATGCTACAATCCTTATATTTCTGTGTTAACAAGTTAATGTTTTTTCAGAGATGTCAATGTTTTCTCTAAATTGTCTTAGGGAAAAAAGCTTTTCAGCATCTTCATTGTGTTTACTTTCTAAACATTCCAACTGAAGTATACCTCATTAGGGGTTGAATTCTTACTAAGATACATAAATATCCACTACATATTAAAGATATGTATAATTATGTATAATTAGCTGGTATTTAAAGGGCATTTAAAAATAGTGGACATGAATATTTAAAATTATTTCTGATGAGATTTGGAGGTGGAAAACAGCCTTGAAAACTAGAATAGTATTTTGAAGCTATGAGTGTGCATCATGTCTTCAAAAGAGGGCTTAATTAGGATGGATAAAACATGGAACTGCATAGTTAACAATGAAAAGAAACAAAATCTTGAACAGCTGTTCCCAAATGATCATCAGCAAACCTACGCATTGAATGAGTCAGGGGTCTTGAGAAATAGAATCATATTTTGATTATAAGATGAAAACTCAGTACACATAAAAGAAACTGAAAACTTTCAATTTTTTTCCAGTTTCTGACTTGGACTTTTGATCTTCAGTAAGACACAACCTAGATAAGTTTTAGGGTATATTACTATGATTTACATTTCTTCTATCAAATAGCTTGGCATTATAGCTAACATATATAACCACCTGCAACATTGTACTACTACAGAGCCTTGTGGGACTGTCAATGTTTATTTTCTCATTGTATGCTGAATTGATAAATATTAAACTTGAGGAATATTTTGTGGATCATCAAAATATTTTTTTAAATTAATTTATTTTGGTATATTTATCACCATTTTGTGTTTGCTTTCCTCAGACAGTAATCTGGCTGAGCTTAGTGACAAGGTTTTCAGTCAGGATTTTGAGCCTTAGATGAGATACCATTGAGCCTTAGATGAGATACCATGAGATACCATAGTCATCCAGTCATGTATATAAAATAACATGATTGGAGCCAACTAAACTAAAGTATACAACTTATACTCAAAATAATAAGCCACTGAGTCAAATATATTTGTAAAGACAGTAAAATGACTGAATAAACCCTTCTATTTGAGGTACTCAATACTTCTATAGATAGGTGAAGAAAAGATGCATGAGCAATTTTAATCCAGCCTGCTCTTGAAGGCTTATAGTAAGCACACTATTTATGGCAGAAAGATAAAAAAAAAAACCCTTGTATATCTCAAATTAAATAAATCTGGCTTGTTTCTACATCTGAATTTCAAATATATATTTTTAAATACCTTTGTGGGGTGGTTTTTTTTTTGTTTGTTTTTTGTTGGTTTTTTTTGACATGCTAGAGTAATTATTATGGCAAAGTTAGAAGAACTTATGACAGAAGACTTGCAAAATTCTCAGCATTTTTTAAAAATCATCTGTTTCCATTTCCCTGTATGTGGTATCTTCATTGTCTGGGAAACAACATGTGAGCTTTGTACAATTTTCTGTATGGATTCAAAATCTGAACTTCTCTGTTCAAGCTATATTACAGGAATCATTCAACTGAAAGATGCTTGAAATTACAGATTTTTTTTTTAAAAATTTATTTTTTCTTGCAAAGCCTCATCCTTTTTTTCATAGTTACTTATTTAGTTAGGTACTTGTGCCAATACATGCATATTGTCAGCCAAAGGACTTTTACAACACATGCCTGTACATATTTTCTAGTTAAACTGTCATTCTCATTGGGAAGTCAATGACAACAAAGGAATTAACAGACAGTGAACAATATTTTGATAATCTATCCTTTGTTTATCTGTTTTCTGAAAAATCTGTGCCTGTTTGTACTTAGGCAAACATATTTTAAAATGCTTCATATGTACAAAGTCATATAACAATTATACTTCCACATCTCATACCTCAGGCTACAGATGTCCATCTGAAATTTAAAGCCTTTTGTCAACAGAAATTTACTCTATATTAATGATAAACCTCCCTGATGTCACTCAAAGGTTTAGGTCTCTTTAGGAACCTGAAAATATGGTGTCTAATTTCAGAATGAAATGATGGTAATAAAAGAAACTCTCCAGACAGTTGGACTTTAACTAGCAAAGCAAAAAAGCATCCGTTTCAGCAATATCCACTACTTCAAAATGAGGTGAGACAAGGGCATTAGCAATACTCCAAGGGTTTTTCTTGGGTTTGTTTTATTCATCACATTTTACATAATCTTTCTTCATCTAATACAGTACTAGATAACTGATAAAGAAAAGAAAAAAATATTTATTTTCTAAAATGTTTTTCTAACTCATTCTTTAGTATATAAGTATCCCCCAAAATCCTTACTTATTAATACATTCCCATATGACCATAACTTCAGTGACTTGTCCTGGCTGTCTTTCTTGCAGCAGGGTTTCTGTAAATGAAGAGATGTATATTAAGCTGAAAATGGAAATCTTATGTATTTGTATAAGTATATATTTTTATATTGTATAAATAAATGTAATTTCCTCTTATTTTTGTGTGTCTATTGTACATATAAATATTTATGTGTTGCATTTTGAACAACACAGAATTGAAAGAAATTCCTTGGGGTCTTTGAGATCTGCCATATATGTCTTGTTCATTCACCTGAGGTAGAGGTAGACATATTTTTTTTTCTAACTGGATGCAGTTTTGCAGGGATTATCTGCAGTTTTAGACTCTCACAAATAGGTGGCACTAATGAATTCTTTATTTGCAGTAATTTCTATGTTCCCAGCTAGGAAAGTAAAAGTGCTTTGTGTCCTCTGACACATTCCATATTGACCTTTGCAACCAATAGCAAATTTGAACTTAATTATTAAGGCTGAAACCGATAAAGAGAATCCTGTTTTTCACTTCCATGAGATAATTTCTACTGAATGTAAAAGGAGTTACTCACAACTTTAGGAGAAGGTTGCCTACGTGCTGTATTAAAATAAGAAAAGCATATTGCTCTTTAATATAAAAAGAAATCTAGAGTGACATAATGTATTGAAAGCTCCTGTGAAAGACCTGATTAAACTAGCTGGACCTGAAATATTACCTGGCATGCTAGAAATGTCAAATAAAAATTACCTTGAAATGTGAATTTGAGTCACATTCCCTGCAGGTTTACACTGGGGTAAGCTTTCCTAGCGTCAGTGTAATTAGGGGTGTTTTTCAAATTCAGCTATCACAAACTATGGTTTGTTAGCATTTTCTGAATAAGATGCTTCTAACAGATATTTTTAGGTCCCCAAGCAGAGTTGATCAGTTTATGAAAAACTCTTTGGTGCTTTCAGAGAGGGAATCTGACCTCTCTCCATGCATTGCATGTGCACACCTGTAGGCAGGTGGGTATGTGTGCACATGTACAGTCCATGTATATTTATAGGTACTGAATGAAATTATATCTGCAGAAAACTTGGGGTTTTTTTAATTTAATTTTATCATGCATTATAATGAAATTGCCCTGTTTGCATGATAGTATGACTAAATCCTCACAGACAAAGAAACTGTGAGAATTTAAAGATTTGTGTGAATCCAACCCTGTATTTTACAAGTTTTGATAGTTTGGAGAGTATAACAGAAAATATTTTTAATCAAATCTGTAAATTTTTGCCCAAAGGAAAAGAAAGACCTCCAATCATTTTTAGAAACAAGTGTAAGCCCTAGTAAAAATTTCACAGAGCTTTCAATATCATTCAAAATTTTAAAAATTAATTTAGCAATTAACCTTATGCTTGATAGAGTAGGGATTTTAAACCAAGACAAGCTTCCAGAGATATAATTTTATGAAAAACAAAAACCAAAAAAGAGTTGAGCAAGACATTAGAATTAGAATCAGAAACCAAACTCAGTGTGCTCACACAACCCACATGAATGTGAGCACCTTATGCACCACAGCTGAAGGAACACGGGGAAACAGTATCCATCAAACGTAATTCTCCATGGACCTCCCACATGATAATGAAGGTGGGAAAAATGCACATTACTCTCTCTTGTGATGATCTGAGGTTCTAAATGATTACAATATTAACACATCAAGCACTTTCTGGTCACTTTGGGTCTGAAGATAGCAAGCAAGCTCTGGTCATGTCCGTAAGATAGATGTTCATAGACAGATTCTCTTACCTTCTTACCTATAAGATGACAGATTTCAAAATATCCACGGAAAATTAATAATTTGTGTGGTAGTTGACTTTGTCTGGATGCCAGGTGGCCACCAAACCATGCCATCACTCTCCTCTCAACTGGGCAGGAAAGAGAAAATATTAATGGTATGTTCATAGGTTGAGATAAGAGCAGAGAGAGATCACTTAACAATTACTGCAGCAGAAAAAACAGATTTGACTTGAGGAAATTAATTAAATTTATTGCCAATCAGTCAGAAGATAAAGAGAAACAAGAAGAGCAAATCTTGAAACATTTCCCCCTGCCTCTCCCTTCTTCTTCACTGCTCATTTTTTCTACTTTCCCTGCTCCACCCCCAGTGATGAAGGGGGATGGGAGATGAGGAGTAAGGGCTCTGGCATGGGGTCCTCCATGTGCTCTGCTTCACTGTGACCCCCATGCAGGGGCACAGCTGCCTCACCATGCCTGCATCACAGGCTGCAGAGGAATAAATCTCTGCTCCAGCCTCTGGAGCGCATTTTCTTCCTGCCTCTTCATTGACCTTGATGTCTGGAGGGTGGTTGCTCTCACATATTCTTACTCCTCTCTCCTTTTAGTGTCCTTCAGCAGATTTTCCCCCTTAACTATGCTATCCTAGAGGTGTTGCCACCCTTACTGATGGGTTTGGCCAACATCAGATTCCACTTGGAGCCCCCTGGGATTGGCTCTGTCAGGCATGGGGGAAGCCTCTGGGAGCTTCTCACAGAAGCCACCTCTGTATTCCCTCACTACCAAAACCTTGCTTTGCAAACCCAATCCACAATTGCCTGCAATATCTCTAGAAACATACAAATATAGACCATGGGAGCAAGACTGCTGGCCTGGGCCAAAAACGTGCCACAAAAATGTGCTAGAGATGACTAAATTATGGTGCTTGCCCTCTGATAGTGTTAAACTGAATTCAATTCTCACATTAATGTTTAAAACAGTGCAGCACATGCATGGTTAGGGAAGAGTTGCAGCATTATTTCGGTTACTACTTATGACAAGTATGACAAATCTTAAAATTTCAAAAGTCTATTCAGAAAAGCAAGAAGAAAAGAAAAAATAACTTCAGTGTTGGCAAGTGTTCACAATGCTGTGTTTTCAAATTTCCACAAAAGTGACAGATTTTTAAATGAATGCAATAATTTGAAAGTCAATATACATAATATGTCTGCTAGATACAAGATGCATGGCTGTGTCGTTATATACAAGGAAATATTGATGAGGATTCAGCAATTACAGGTTATTGGGAGAAATTAATTAGAAAAGACTTGCAAAAAAAGCAGAGGAATGGTGAGTAAGTACCATGAAAAGAGATGATAAGGTGTCATGGTTTTAAAGCAGTAACTAAAAAAATTACTAGAAAACTTATTTCTTGCTATGAGATAGGGATTAGAACAAGAACAAAACAGGCTTTAAACTTAAAAGGAATAAAGAAAGTTTATTAACAAAACTACAAGAATAAGAAAACCAGAATAAAACTTCCAGAAAACTCTTTTCACCCCCACTACCCAACCATTCTCTTGTTCACATGACAACATAGAGACAAAAAAACTTTGGTGTTTACAACAGTCCCAATTCTTGCTATAGTCTTTTTCATCAGCCTTAGTAGAGAAACAGAAGTCTTTTTCTGCTAATCTATGGAGTTTCTCACATGAAAACTATTTCTGTTATAGGTTTCTATTTTTCTGATGCCAGCTGCCTGGAAAAATCTGCCATCAGTTGTCTCTTCCCATTTCACATCACTCTGAGGTGTGTTATGGGTCAAATGAGTCTAGGGATGTCATTTTTAAGGATGAGTTATTCAAAGGCAAAAGTTCTCTTCATCTGTCTCTGTGAGCCTCCCTGGAAACAGAAGTTTTCTCTTTGCCTCTTAATGGCCCGAAATGACTTCTCCCCCTCTGTTCCAGCACCTCACTGTATCACAATTACTCTACCTTTTGCTCAAAATCCACACTTTGAACACTCCATTCCACCCAATATACTGTGTCATGAATTAAAGGAGGTTTTTTTTTTTCAGAACACTGTTGTCCATCTCCATAGCTTTAACAGAAAAATATTTCAGCTTATTAAAGCATCTCCTTATTCTCTCTTCCCCATCTGAAACTTAATTCTTCTCTTCACTGTCTTTGATGGTTTTATGATGCCTTCTTCATGTTGATTATCCCTCTCTCTCTCTCTTCCCCTCTCTCTGAGAAAAAGGAGTAATGTGTAAGTCTCATCCATGTAGTAAAAGAGTTCAAGTCTTGGAAAAGCTGCAGGTGTTCATGGTGTCAGGTTTCAGTCCAGCAGCAGAAACTGCAAACCAAGCCAGGCTGGCCGGCTCTGTTTCTGCGGCCTTGTCCGGCCTGGAGTGGGGGGAGGAGGCCGAGACAGAGCCTTGTTACCTTTTCAGAAGCTGGAAACCAAAGGGGTCAAGAGAGCTCTGGCTTTACATTTTAAGGTGGTGTTCACAAGGTGATCTCACTTCTCAATGGTTAAAACTGCCGCTAATTCTCAGAAATGGTCAATAATTGGTCAGGAGAAAAAACTCCCATCAGCCTCCAGAAGCTTCAACTTCCCTAGCTCCCAAAGCTATCTTAAAGGTAAAGTCACCCCAGGACATGAGGGAAGGCAGGAAGGCAGGAAGGAAGGGACGGACGGAGGGAGGGAGAGAGGGAGGGAGGAGAATGAGAGAAAGTGCATATATAAGTAGCTTATAAGACAATCATGCAGTTGAGCAGGTTACCTGAGAGTTAAGGGCTGTCTCCATCTTTGGAAATTTTTGAAATCCAACCAGTCTGAACCTTACAGCTGTTTCTTCTTTGGGCATGAGGTTGAGCCAGAAGCCTCCTGAGGTCCCTTCCAACCTGAATTATGTTATGATGCCAGATCCCAGCATTAACAGGAATAGCTTGGACACAAATATATGATGGGTGCAGTTCCACTGATACAGAAGTAAGTAAATAGTGTATCCTTCATGAAAATAGCTATGCCTGCCCTAATCATCATCTGACAAATATAACTTCATCCATACCTACATTGGGACAGCTACTCATTCTTTCCAGGACAGTTAATACAGTCCACAGTTCCAATGAAAAGAAACCTTTTATAGCTGAGGGACAAAAATTCCAACACCATCACTCTCCTGTAAAGAAGCAGTTTACTAAAATAACATCATCATCCATCAACTACTAATCTTTAAATAGCAATAATTACTAAATGTTCTTGTACCTACTAAACTAGACAAAGACAGGATATAAACACATTGGTAAATCACTTAAGCAATAAATTACAATGTGTGCCTTGCAGCTTAAGTAAACACTGTTGACTTGGAGTTCACAGTAAAAACAGAGTGGCACAAAGTTACATTGCCTGAAGTAGGAATACAGGTCTTTCATATTAAAGCATAATTTTTCAGGGAGAAAAATCTCTGTTTATATATTTATTTGAATAGTCTTCAGGAACATAAACAGAGAGAAATAATTTAAATACATGTTATGTCTGGAAATTTTGAAAAGAGAATATGTAGACCTGGGGATTAATGAGTGAAAGTCTTTCATGCTCAGGTCATTCACTCATCTGGGCTAGAGGGCTATGACGATATTTTGGAAGACAGTGTTAATGGCATACCTTTAGATTGCTTTAAAAGAGCAATTGAAAGACGTACAATGTATAAAGATATGAAAGTTGATTTATCAAGACATGAAGTCAATGAAAATTGTTTCTTAAAAACCTTTTCTAAAAAAGATAGTTCTAGCTATTGTATGCAGCTATTTCAAAATAAACCATAAGCTGTTTTTGTTTATGCACTTGTTCATGCCTTTTATTTTAGTTTCATTTGCATTTGCCTCATGCTGCATATTATAAAAGAAAAAAGTGCTGTCTGTGTGCTGCATATAGCATACACACCAAAGGGTTATGTTACCTGCAATAAACACAGTGTCACAGAAAAAGAGGCACTGACCACACTTTCAACCTCTCTGGTCTTTACAACAGATTCTTTTTTGGGTACATTGCTGCTCATTCCTCATTCAAATATTTTTGAAGAATGATCATACTGTCATATCTTACCATGTCACTTTACTCTATGAATCTCACAGTCTGCTTCTCATTGAAGAATCAACTGCATTTAGTCTTTAGAATAAATTTTTGTTTGTTTTGTTTACTTTTTATTTACAAATAGCTACACTGTATTCTTTGATGAACTATTATGTCACAGTCATCAAACCACTATGCTGCAACAATGGAAACACTGTACAGACAAACAGGCACCAAAAATTAATTTTAAATTTAAAAAACAGAAAAAAATAGGCATGTGCCAGCAGGAAAGCTTAAAATATTAGTACTTACCTATATGAGTCAGATGTACTCAAATACTCAACATCCCTCAAAGTGTTATTTAGCTCAACCATGGCCTTTTATTTAGCATTTCAGCAGATTCTGCCTGGCAACTACTGAGTATCAGAATTTTACAGGTTTTTAATCCAAGGCACTTCCAAGCATTGTTTTGGTTACACATGCCATGAACTTGGACTTCTCAGAGCCAGGTACTGGCTGGCGGCACCCTGGGTTACTGCTTGAAGGTGCATGACAGCATGGGCAAGTGAAGGCAAATCTGAATTCCTTTGACTCTAAGGCAGCCAGGATGTGAACTAGCTTCAGTTCAGGAGAAACAGTAGCACCTTCAGGTGGATCTGGGCAACTCAATTTGCCCAGAGAAGTTTTAGAGAAGCTGTGGGTGCCTCATCCCTGGAAGAGTTCAAGGCCACTGGATGGGGCTTTGAGCAGCCTGGGGTAGGGGAAAGTGCCCCTGCCCATGGCAGGGGGCTGGAACTAAAAGATCCTAAAGTCACCTCTAACCCAAACAATTCTATGGTTCTATGATTGGTACAGTCTTTGAAAATCAGGGTGTGTGATCTCAAAATCAATGTCTGCTAGGTTGTCTGGAGACTAAGATTGGTTGTGGCTGGGCAGCCCTGGACACAGCATATGTGCTTGCTGCCTGTTTTGCTGTCTGTAGGCCGTGCAGAATCTCATAAACACACAACAGTGTTGCCCAGGTGTTGCACAAACTTTTTTTTTGCAGAAAATCCATGAGTAAATCCCAGTCCTGGACATAAGAAACATCACAGCTTGATAAATTTCGTTTTGATCTGTGCTTTCTTCCTTATTTATCTATATTTCCTGAATGAGCAGAGGTGGCAATAAAGGTATAATTTAAAGGAAACAAATTATCATTAACCAAAAGAACCCAAAAAAACATCATCAAAACTCTCCAAACCCAAATCCCACTGTCATTCTCATGTAAACAGGAGGTGAACAGGAGGCTCTAACCTAAACAGTGTCCTAGCCTGGGCCCCAGAACTTGATCATTCATGGAGGTGGAGGTCCCTACCTCATTTTGTCCTGGTTTCAACTAAGACTGTCCCAGTATCCTAGCCCAGTAATCTCATTTAATAAAGAGCCTGGGTATGGCCACCTTGTTGTGGATATAAAGGATTTTAATGACATGCCACCTCTCTGCCAGGGAACACTCTGTGCCCTCTTTTATTTACAGGTACAGCTCTGAATTCAGTGAACTAATAATGAGTAATGGTGCAATTTTGTGCTGGGAAGAGAAACAAAAGGAAATAGTGGATGATGAAAAAACAGAAAACTCAATGCCGAAAGCCATGGGAACTGGCTGGAGAGTAGCAAATAAAGCTCATAAAATTATTTCTCTATTTAGACCAGAAAGTTTTTGAAGCATGATCTGAGAAATAAATAAAAATTAATGTTTTAGAAGAAAATCTTAAAAAAAAATGAAATCAAGAAAAACTGTTTTAAAGGCACAGGGTTTTCCATGTAAACAGAGATCCTGAGGACTGGAACAGCAGAACCAGAAACAATATAAGCTAATTTCTAAAAGCCAGACATTAAAGTAGGACTAGCAGTGTCTCAGTCTGTTGCCTGGATTTGAGACAAAAAAGGCTTCTCACAGTAGGGAATATGCTCACAGTGTCCTGTGTCCAGAGTCCTGTCTCCATATCTCAATACTACTGAAATCTTTTCTGAGGCAAATTCTGTACAAAGTTTGCTGTTCCAAAATCAAGAAAACACATTGTTCCAAACAGTAGGAAATAGTCTGTTCTTTAGGGCACTAAACAGGAAAATAAACAAAACAGTAGTTTGGAAAAGGAAGCTTCATGAATGACAGACAGCACTGATGATTACCTCTGTATTGCCTCTGTGTTTCACACAGTTTTAAAGCATTATTCAGCCATCTTCTGAGAAAAAGTGCCTACAGTTACCAGCATCTCCCCCTCACTTTGCTCTCTTCTTTGAAACAAATGCTATTGATCAGTAGAAGTCTTTTCTGAAATTGGCAGAAAGGTATGAGCCTATTAAACCTCTCTTATGAAGGTGGAATATGACTGGAAAGGAGAATTGATTCCTACTAGATTTAGATCCATTAGCTTTTTGTTGCAATTCCCTATTTGTAACATTTCATTACACACTTTCAGAAGCTATTTTTTCTTCTTTTTATCTCATTCTGTGGATTTTGCTTTTTATATTCTGAAAGAATGATCATTATTTTCCTATTTCTATTCTAGACATTATCTTGTACATATGAATTTGTAACCAACTAAATCTTGCAAATTATTTTTTTTCCCATAGGAAGCTGAGTCAATTGTGTCCAGATTGGTTTGTTAGCTATGTTTAAAATTACTGCAGAACATATAAGTTTGTGAATGTATGTGTCTTCATATCAATATATAAATCTTCAGTCAGGTCAGATTTCTTTGAATATGAACAATGGCAGTCTTGGCTTAAAAGGCTAAAAAGAAAAGAAAGTTGGAAGGAGAATGTTTTGAACATTATTTTCAGACAAGTGCCACGGTTAAAGGGAACAGGCTGGAATAAATCAGAACTTCTGACTGCCCAGACTGACAATGTTCTTTAGCAGGGGCCTTTTAAGAGTCCAAATAATGGTTCAGTGCAGGAGAAAAAAGAATGTTTTGAGTCTGAAGCCAGCTGTTCAAGAAACTCATCCCTCTTCAGTTCCACACCTTTTTGTCAGCAAAGAGAAGTCATCTGGCATATATATTTAGAATTCTATTTTAAAAGGGGGATTTCTAAAATATCTAAAATATGTAAATTTCTAAAATATCGATTTGAAAAGAGTTGATTCCAAGAGTTTCTGTTGCGTTTAATGAGAATAAAGGAAGGCTTAAACTATATCAGAGCAGTCAGGTCTTTTAGAATAGATCTTCATAGTAACCATTCATATATATTCGAGTGTTTCTCTAACACAGCAGAGTGAGTTACTAATGTTGTCTATATTTCTGGCATTGTCTTCAGCTCTGTTTGAACCCTGAGGGCTCAGCAGTGTGTCTGAACAAATATTTTACAATGACTATTTTCTAAAACAAATGTATCTTTGAGTTGCCTGGAATTAATATTGAATTTAAGCTGAGTTAGAAGAAAAAAGTGTTTGCAAATGTGAAACAAGCCAACTCAGGCTACAATCATGAGCAGATCAGGCATGATTTGTAAAAAGTAAGGAGAGTATTCCTGCTCATGAACATCTCTGAAAAATTTCTTAGCTAATGGGCTGAAAAATACCTTTGTGGTGAAAGAAATAATGAATGTACGAGTTTTGTTCATACAAACCTAGAATTTTCCTCCTGTCTCCTGTTTGGGGAAAAAAAAAATCTAGAAAAATGTCTGAAAATGAAAGTGCAATGTTTTGCTTCACTTCTTAGTTCATCTGTGAAATTAAACCATCTATAAAATTCAACAAACAAATGAAATGTGTACACTGATGTTTATCTTTGAATGTAATGAAATGTAAGCATTCTCAGAATGCAATTTCCTGAACATTTGATTTGGACTATGCATATAGCCATTGCTGAACTGGAGTCTATTTGACACAGTTTTTATTTTAAAAAATGCATTCCAAGCACTTTATTTCAAAAGTGAAATTAAGTGATACTTAATAACTGTGGGGGTTGGGGGCCTTATTTGTTTAGTTGTTTTTCTGACTCCTGGTCTCAAACCCAATTATAATACAGTTTATCAAAAAGGTATTTTGTACATCATGCACAATGAAGCGTAGATCCTTTCCAGTACAGCTTTTGAATTTCTGAATCTGTACTAATTTTTCTCCTAACACTTTTTTTTTCTCCTTTAAATTGCTATTTTACATTATAATATGATCAAGTTCTTAGAATTTTCCTCTTATTTTCATCAAAATGCTAATGAGCTTGGTTTGTTCACCTTTCAAAGAAAATTGAACTCCATCTTGAGGAACAGTATAATGATGGATATAAATTTCACAAACTTTTAAAGATCAGTGTAATTCCTCTAACATAAAAATATGTTAAAAGCAAACAATGTAGAATTTTCATTGCCTGATATTTAAATATGATATGATATGATATGATATGATATAATATGATATAATATAATATAATATAATATAATATAATATAATATAATATAATATAATATAATATAATATAATATATAATTATTATATTATAATAACATAATATATTGTAATAGTAATAATAATAATTAACAACAACTACAATGCAGTATAATTTAACTTATTTGATGACTATGGTTAAATGTGAATATCTAACTGGAGAAGGTTCAGAGAGATGCCAGAAGACCAAGCCTGCTCCTTTGCAGGTTTATATTCCTACAGAGAGTTTAATAAATATCCTTCTTGTGAATCACACAATTTTTGAGATTATCAAAGAGAAAATAAAGAAAAAAGCAATTAAAATAAGAATTATCAAAAAACACATGCATGGCTGAAGAAATTATTTAACCTTAAATTTTTTAAATTTAGGTGTTTTTTTTTTAGTCCATAATCTCTAGCAAGAATACAACACTATCCCTTACTGAGGTCTGGGTTCTTAAAGGCAATTATTATACTCAAATGTCTAAACCCTGGTCCTGAGCTTGTACTGTGGTCTTCCAAGGCAGGTACAGAAAACTGAAGAATCAGGAGACAGCCTCATGCTGGTGGACACTGGTTACAGGTGACCAATCAGACTATAATCAGGCAGAACATCATCTCTAAAATTGGTATCAACTGACCTGAATGAAAAAAGACTCAATTATTGTTCCATGACCCATAAACAGAAGATCTTATAATTGCATATTAAAAATGTTACACATTTCAGCCTTCTCATGCAGACAAAACTGTGCTGAATGCATGATGGTGGTCAAAGATACCTTATTAAAACAAAACCAGACTAGTACTGAAGAAAGTAATAGTTACTTAACAGTGAGTACAGTAAACATGTGACATTAAAGTGAAGTGTAGGTTCACTGCCATGCAGTAACTGTGGATATCTGTATATCTCTTTCTATGCTTTTCTAAAGTAACCCTAAGTTCTATAAATGATACAGATGAAGAAGGATGTGTAGGATATGTCCCACTGATCTGCTTAAGGTGCCTAATATGCAATGACATCAAGCAGCACGTGCTACATAGCAGTAACTCCTGCAGGCAATCAGGACTGATCCCACCATTCATCCCTCAGCTGCCTCCTGGCTTGTTTTTTAGGTGCCTCAGCCCTGGACCCTGTGTGCCATTGGAGGGACATGTGTGACAACAGCCAGCCTTGGTCTCAGGAAGGAACCCAGCAACCTCCCCTTGAAGCATCCTCAGCAGTCAGCCTCATAGACAGGTCTCTATAAGTTGGTGTTTGTGTATATATATATTATTAATACTATTTTTATTTTAAATATTCTTAAACAATCAATTTAATTTTAAATATTAGTGCAAATAAAATTGGAGGTTCTGCTTGATACTCACCACATTTTCTTTTCATTTCACCAAACATTCAGTTGTTTTTCAGGTTTGGCTCGTTGCAGATATACTTCGAGGTTCTGTTTTTTTTAGGGTATTTTATTCATCAACAAAACAAAATCCTAGTTATATGGACATTTCCATTAAAATAACTGGGCCATATGTAAATTGTTCCTTACTGCTTGACAGCTAATGATATGTTTCGGTATAAAAACATGGAGATTTATTACTATTCTGAACAAAATCTTTATTTTCTGTCTAATATAACAGTGGGTGTTCCCATTATCCATGTAAATGGTTAGATGTTTTAAAGCTTACCATGCTCTTGAACTCAGTAATGCATTAAAGCAATGACTTCCACCAGTTAAACAGATTTCCACTGTGAAAAACAGATGTCTTGTCATGAGTTGCAAACCTGTTCCTGTTAAATTTACTTTAACTTAACATTTAAAGGCATAAACTAAAGTCTTTGGTTTCGCTGTTTCATTTAATATTCCACAACTTTATGTAGATCTCTCTGAGAATGTATTAATATATTTTCAATCTTTCTTTCTTTGTAGTAAAAAATAATACTTTTAAAAAATGGGGTTATTAAATCAGGTTAGTCACAAGGAAACTTTGGGATGAAACCAGAGGGAAAAGTTACAGAGGAGCTTTCATATTTTTAAGAATTATCAAGGACAAGGCCTCAAGTAGAGATAAAGGATTGGAATTCATAACTACTTTAGCCAGGATTCAGGTAAGTTGGAAGAGAAGAAAAAATATCAAGACTTTCCATAATTCTTGTGCCATTTGCTAGACCTTGATGGTGAGGCCTTCCGTGGCTCACTTCATAAAAAAGGTAAGAGTTTCTTCATTCTCTAGAGAGTCTGACTGCATGTATGAGGCATTAAAATGCACAGGTTGAGAGCTTTCAAGAGCAGATCAATCTCTAGACTCACCACTGTGTCAAAGTGGTTGAATTAAATTTGCTTATAGCCCAGTGAATTGAGGTTTGACTTCCTGACCTCTTTTGGTTTCACATCCAATGTCAAGCCCAGACAACACTGCTGCTGGTAAGGTTATTTTCTTGATATACCTCAATAACATGAGTCCCTTCAAAGGACTTCTAAAATTACAGTTTTCATAACCTAACAGGAAAGAATTTGAGACTACAGAAATATTTGGTTGTTGGTATTCAAAAAGAACTCTCCTTTTTTGAGAGATGATATTAATAGATAAGAGCCACAGGGAAGAAAATTTGTTTGTCCAGTTTTATGGCTAAAGAAGTATTCCCAGAATTAGTAAATAAGGGAATCCTTCCCATTTCATTCTCATAAGTACTCAGTATATTATTAAACAGGCTTATGCAAATATGCCTATAACAGTAAAATAAACAGTGGGAGAGGTCATTTTCTGTCTCTGAAGCTGCCTTTTAGTCTCTCCCTGTGCCTATGAATTGTTTGGGAGATTTGACCTGAGGCAGGAACAGTAAAGGATTGCTCTGACAGTGGGTTGCCCCTTATGCTGCTTAATCTGTTGATACATGTGTAGAGCACAGGGACACTGGTGCAAGTGTCCCTAAGCAATTCACTGACATTTGTGTGGCACTCCTTCTAGGCTAATATATCTATGTAGACATCATGCTGATGGAGCTGGATTGCTGCCCTTGCTCTAGGCCTATTTCTTCTACTTCAATCCCTCACTAATAAAAAGGTATAGGAAGTAAGGGGAATAGTACTTATTGTTACCCTTAATAGTACCCTTGTTAATGCCAGTTTAAACCATAAACCATAGTAAAAATTGTTCTGTCTTTTCACTTGAGAGATGCTAGTGTTTTAGGATGATCTGGTGCTGCAGAAGTCTGGCTGATTTTAAATAAGGACAACTGAATACTTTTTAGTTTGATCTTAAAATCACCTTTTTCATAAATCATAGAATCATATAGGTTGGGAAAGAGCTCTAATTTCATTGAGTCCTACTATTAACCAAGAAAATCTGTGTAACCTGGGTGTGGTATAGAAGCTGCTCATTTCTGAGTCTGGGATGTACCTAACTTAGTTTCTGAATACTTTGAAGTAATTCATCATTGTCAGGAGGAAGTAATCATCCTGGGGGAAGTCCATAATGTTGTGAACATTGATGGGATTGAAATGTAACTTAGTTTTCCTGTCATGGAGCAGCGTGACATCAAGATATGAAAAAATTGCTCACATTTTGCTCATGAACGTAAGTGTGCCTTCATTCATTACAAATGTCCCTAACACCTCAACAGAAGACAATCAACCATACCTTGGCTTCCAGAGAAAAATGACACTCCTGTGATAAGCTGGAAACAGTGGTTGCAGCTCATAAGTATATTTATTTCCACAACTGTAGTTAAATCACTAGAGTAATAGCAACAACTTGAACATCAAAACCATACCTTAAGAAAGCTGAAAGAAACAATAAGATTTAAGGTCAATATTAATAGTCTTTGTCTAACATTGTGTCTTAGATGCTGAAATTCTATACTATTTATAGCTCATACTGTGAGTGGGGAAGCAATATATTCCTTTGACAGACCTGTACTTCAAATATATTTATGAAGTGGGTTTATATTAATATGAGAAATCAAACAGAAGTGTCTACATTTCACAAGAGATGAAACCCAGATGAAAAAGGATCTAACAAATCCCTATTTTTTAGGAGTATATCTTTAATCACCCTCCTACACCTTTTGATGGAACACCATGGGGTTCTCAGGGCATGTTGAGTTGCAGCATATTCATGTCCGTAGAAGAGAGCTCAAAAGCCTGCAAGAACCAAAGTGACCATGCAAATGACCATGTGTCCTGAATAAACTAACTTTCCTGAAGACATGCTAACAAAATAGGTTTCATCTTTATACTTAATATTATATATATATAATATATTATGTATATATAATATATTATATATATAATATATACTATATCTCAAATTATGTGATGAATTATATCCTTAATTTAGTTGGCTTTATGTTGCCAAACAACTTTATGGAATTTCTATTAAATGACAATCATGTTTTACTCAATTTCTATAATAAATTGACCAATCCACCTAGAGTTGTGCTTTCCCCTCTCCCTAATTCTTTCTGAGACAACCATCCATTCTGTAAACTGAATGGTGAAAAGATCCTTCACTATTTAAATAATTAAATGTTGTAAAATGCTGCTCATGAAAGAAATTAGAGTAATAAAATATTGCTTTTCTATCTGTGGCTCTAAACATCCATCTAGAATTTGATAAGTGGAAAATATTTCCCTTTTAAAATATTCAAATTTTAAAAGCCTGTACCAGAATTTTATTTTAAGACAAATATTTTTCTTCCAGGATATGTTACACAAGTTGCATCACCTTAAAATCTAGTTCTGTAGTACAAGTAGACAGCCTTGAAAAAGTTTTCTTATTTATTTCTTCACTGAAAAGCAACCAAATATATTAAATGAGTACTTTCATTGATTTCATATATTCATATATACTTTCACATGGATCCTGAAGCAGGAAATATATTGATAGGGAAAAATGCACTGAGGAAAGAGGAAAGCTATTTTAGGAGAACTGTTATGTGGATAAACTGACCTCAAAAGTACATCATAACACAGTTTCTGTAATATTTTAACTGAATAATCCTTAATGTGTTATTTATTTATTTCAAAATGTGCTGACAGCCACCGCTGGAATACCTGAAAGTCAAAGTCAGGCATGGCTCCCAATATTCTGAGCAGCACAGAAATTGACAGGGTAACCCTGTGTCCCAGAGGGTTTGCACTCTTGTTTTCAAGGTACTTAACTGCAAGAGGGATGGGTAAATGGAGTGTGAAAGAACCACCAGTAGGATAATGTACTTAAGATGGAAGCTGGTGTAAACTTCAAAATGGACTTTTGCAGACGAGTCTTAAAAACTCTCTCTTATATCTGAGTTTCCTGTCTCTGTCTCTGATGGCTATTTCCTTTTGTTGCTGGAAGCTTTGCCCAATAATAAATATAGAAAGACAATGTCCAAGTCACCATCTGAGATTTTCTGAAACTGGTTTGAAACTACTTAAGTAGCAGCAATTAGAAAAAAAATCTGTGTATTCTTAGAGAAAGAACATAACTTTTGAAAGAGAGACTGGCTGCCATTTTGATATAAGAAATGTGAGGTCTGCTTGACATGAAAATTTACTCAAACTTAAAAAAATTATAAACATTTAAAATACTTTATTTTGAAAATATATGACTTAGAAATTCTGCTAGAAACTTCCAAGATGTAGTTTTATTTTTCCCTAAATATAATTGAACAAGAAAAGTCTGAATTTGGGTTTTCTTCTCTAAATCAGTTATAAAAAGCAAATAATAATCTTCAGCCACTTAACGAAATGTTTTGTTGCTTTAATATTATTCTAACATAGATTTTAATTTTCCTGTTAATGGCAATGTTTTTTAGATAGGTATAACTACTTACATTTTTCTGAATGTCATAATCAATACATGTACCTTTTAAGTATAACTCTAAACCTTATTTTTATTATAAAACTAGGTGTTGAGATCTAAAATTCAAAATTAGCAAGTGTTCATAGATGATAAGCATTTAAAATGTACTGTGCATAATTATTAGATTCTTTTTTCCCCTTGCCCTTCTGCTTCCTGCCTTCTCAGTTGCCCACCAGTGAGTTACATTTAAGAGGAGGAAAGACATCTATTGACCACAGAGCTGAATTCAGTTAATGTGCCTCACTCTAGCAGGACAATGCATGTAACACAGCAGGCCTAATTTGCTGTCCCTCTCCAGCTATGAATATTGCCACCAAATGTCTGCAGTCAAGTGGTTTTCATTACACTCAAATTCTGTGGTGTGGAATTCTCTGCAAAATTTAATGACCCAAGTTCTTATTTGAAAAAGTCCTCTTTTACAATGGCATTCTACCTGAGCACCATGCACAAGTGAAGTATATAAAAAAGTAGATCCACTGAAAAAAATGAAAATGCAGCCTGTCATAGTAGCTGAAAGAGTGTAACCAATGAAACACTTTTCTAAAGGAGCAGTAAAGGAGCAACTTGTAGCTTTTGTGTGTGTATATATATATATATTCCCTGAGAATGGGTTCTTCTAATTGATTGCCAAGTCCATGAGAACACTTCAGTGCATTATTTTCTGGAAGAAGAAAGCATGGCTGTGGCTTTGAGAGGTGAATTCTGCTGAATATGTGAGGTTATTGTTATGTTTAAAGTCAAAAGACAAATTCAGCAGGGGAACATTTTTTCTTAAAATAGTTGCCACAGTAATAAGAGCCCTGTTTTATGGTTGGCTTATCAAAGGTGCTGCACACAAAAAACCTCTGCTCTGTTCAATATCTTGTTCTCATTATTCTTGTTGCTGGTAGCAGTAATCATTCCATATTTTCAAAACGAGCATAGAAATTGTGAATTCACTGTTGTAAAGAGAAAGGAGATAAAAAAAAGGATTTAGAAATTTTTCATTTGTATAAACCTTTGGGATCATTTATTAAGAGATGAAGGTTGCAGCACATCCATGAACACATCTAATTTGCCTAATTATCTGCAAAATTCTTCAAGTTGAAGCTCTTTGCTGAGATCAGTTCCTTTGAAGCTTTAGTAAGAGCTTGGAAGAGGAGGATGTGTTCTAGTCCATGGTGCAATTTACAGTGCACAACAAGGTAGGTGCTCTTTTGGCTTGAACAGAGCTACTCACTAAGTAGGTAATTCAGACCTATACAGGGTCTTACAGAAAAACTCAACCTTCCTTAAAACATATGGGTGTAGAAGCAGACAATAAACAATTATGTTTACAGAGGATAGTTTGACTCTTAACATTTTAGAGCATATCATTATATGATGCACTGTTGACATTACTAAGTTGTAAGTAAATCACTAACCAGTTTCCATGTCTGAAAGGGTAGAAAAAAGCTTTGCCAGGCTTTTGTGTTTCTGCTAGAAAAGGGCTATAGCTTTAATGGTAAACAAGTAATCCTGGATGTGTGGCCTACTTAAAGAGGTATCTTAACCTCTGAAAGTGCCAGCATTTAAATCACAACCTGGGAAAATTACCTGACCTCTCAACACCTGACCCTTGCATGGAGCTATTATTTAAAGTGCCAAAATCACAATAAACACCTATTTACACCTATAACCTACAGTTCCCAGACTTGCACCAGTGCCCTGCTCTGGCTGCCAGTGAAATTGTAGCCTGGCTCTTCTTGGGACTATCTCTGAGAAGAAAACTTAAAGGTCTCCAGAGAAGGAAAAAGACTACTTGGAAGAAAGTAGCTTATTCCAAAAAACTCTCAAAATATACACAGAAATTTCAAATGTGTTCTGATGCAAGCATGTGTAATCCTGCACTTTAAATTCAGCAAGAAACTGGATCAGAAACACAAAGTAAAATGTCAATAAGAGATTTCAACAAATTTTGAGCTGTTGCTATTCTACAAAAACTGCAAGCATATCTAATCCATTCTAAATTCAGTCAATTCAAATGGAAAGCAATACATGTAATGATAGGAAAGATCACTTTGAGGACACTGGTTTTTACAAAAGTGTTAACTAACATCTGCAAACCATAATTAATCGTTATGAAAATGACAAAGAAGATGATGATGATGATGAAGAAGAAAGTAATAATAAAAGAACATTTCATTTTGTAGAAAGCTGTACCCTAGGCATAGTGCCAGTATCAAGGTGAAATAACTAGAATGCATTTAAACCCCCCCTCCCCCAGATCTGACTGACTTCTGGTATTTTGTCAATAAAATGTTCACCAAGAAAATTCCTTTTATTCCTCATTTGGATGACAAGACCTATTGAAAATGTAGTATTTAACAAAACCATTTGAAGTACTGCAATCTAAGGATGGTGCCCCTAATGGTACCTGCACTGTGAAAAATATCAGTAAAAACTGTTTACCTCCTATGGTCATTGTTCCCACAGTTATGTGTGTCCCATTAAGCCTGAGGTCAAATTTAAACTGAGAATTTGGAGACAAACCTGAGTTAAAACATAATCAAATTGCCTTGGGACTATTCCAAAGAGAGAAATGGAAACACATTTTACCTTTTGCTTTTGTCAATACAGAAAGAATAAATACCCTGGAAGGAAAAGAAAGAAGGAGGGGGGAAATAGGCTGATGATAGTTGAATGATTTAACAGTGTCTTATATTAAATGCTGACAATGTAGTCACAGAAGTATTAAACCAAGGCAAATATTATTGTTACCTGCATTTTTAACTCTACTAGCTGAATTAGACTGTATGATTGCTAAGTAGTAGAAGACATGAATCTGGCAGCTGCTACTCAGTTTTACCTGACAACATTCAGAATCAAATAACATGCTTTTCTCTATTATTTTTAATATCACCAGAAAGAAAAAAAAAAACAAAAAACAAAAAAAGGACTTGATGTTGGCAAACAATAGAAAAGGATTAGAAAAGCACTTTTTCCCCAGTATGTAAGTTCTGCATCACAAAAAGAGGATTTGGAAAAAAAAAAGGAAAACTAGGCATGGTTATATTAATACCTGTAAGAGACAGCGAAGACAAAATTCAGCAATTTCTGGATAGCCATTATTACATATCAGAGTTGTTATTGCTCAAAAGGAAAAACAACCCCTACAGGCATTAAAGTGACAAAATCTTTCCTTCTTAAATTAAGTATTGCTTATATTACATATAATTCAGAAAGTAAAACTGACCCTCACAGTAAAGCGCATTCATTGTTTCAAACTCACATTCATTAATTAAATGCTATTTAGAGGCTGAGTTTAACTTTGAAAGATGTGGTGAAGTAACCACAGACCAGTAATTCATAAATTTATGATCATCTTTTTTCCATAGATGTGAAAGCTTTTACAAAATTAGATGGGTTTTTTTCTTTCCCTTTTTTTTAGGGGTAGAAATGAATATTTAAATAACTGTTTCCAGATACAGCTTTGGGCCCCTGTGGGACTAAAAATTTCTAATTAAGTTTGTGTAGCCCTTAGAAAAATTACAACAATATCCTTTTTACTATTTTCTATGCAGAAATGCAGGCCAGTCAGCATTACCCAAACTTCTGTCAAATAAAGCACACTCCATTCCACTTCTGACAGCAATGTGCATGCTCCATTAATGGGGTGCTTGCTTGCTCAAGCAGCTCTGTATTAAGTAGGAGAACAGTTACATCTAACAGCAATCTATATTGTTAAAAGGAGGCTGTTAATTCTAGAAATGCACTGAATGCATAAATAAAAAAATCACACCATGTGTAGCTGTTGGCATGACTCTAAGACAGGATTCTAGGATTTTATTAGACCAGTTCTGACTTTTCTCAGAACAGTTTGGAAAGGGCAATTACTTCATATAGAATGCATTAAGATAATTCCAATATTTTCACAGAAATAAATGAAAAGAAAAAATGTGGGTAAAAGCTGCCATGTAATTCATGTGCAGTGGAATAGTTAGTAACAACTCCAGTTGCTACCAGTAGCAAAACTATCCTTATCCAGATTTGTACTAAGCACTGTAAAAATGAATGGGAGAAAAAGCTTTCATTGGGGCACATCCCCAGGGCAGAGAAGGGAATCCCAGATCCATAAACACATTTGGCTGTTTGCAGGTGGATGTTGTTCCTGCTCCCTTTCTGGACGCTGGACACACAGTACTGAGTCATTCAAATGATACATGCAAGCCTCCTCTTGGCAGTGGGTGAGGTTTTGTTCTTCCTCCTGTGGATTTTTTCAACAGAGTGGCTAGTACTACTCTATCCTGCTTTTTTATTGGGAGCTTGCTCTTTCCTGTACCACCATTCTCCTGAGCTTCAGCTTCTGCATCCTTCCAGCTTAACCACCCCCAGTGTCCATTCAATGATAACCCCATCATCGTCCACAGACTCTCCTGTTAGCTCCCACACCATATGGATCTCCAGTCCCATGCACAAAACATTCTCTTTTACTCTGCACAGATCTATGCTCTCTGCCAGGGCAGCTGTGTTCACTAGGACAGCTCTGCCAGCATTTTGGGATCAGCAGGCACCAGTATTCTCACCCTGTCTCACTGATGTAGTGTCATTAATTCTGGAATCACAGCAGATGTAGCACAGAAAGTTCAAGAGATTGCATCAGGACTGGGTAGAATAGTGTTTAGTGGGGAAAACCTTCTCTTAATTCATAATAAAGGAGTAAAAATGAGAATTTCCCCAGAACCTTTATTTTATAAAGATATATATATATAAGCACTGTGGGTATTTAGGTTAGCTGTACAAAACTCAGGGGCTGCCTGCATCCTGCACAGATAGTGCTCAGCCTCAGGAACATACTCTGAGTGGGAAAATTCCAGAAAAGATAAGTATGTTTTGTGTAAAAATAGAAATGTGCCCATTTATCCCATTTATGAGGTTTGAAATGACTAATTATGAGAATTCTGAAGCATTACTTTGCTCTTTCTGGGTGAAGTAGAGAGATTAGAAATTCCTGATTTGCATAAGGCATTCATCATAATGAGTACAGAGGGCACAGAGAGAAACAGGTAGAATATATGTAAATAGGGCTGATAAATACAGGAACATAAACTTACTCTTATGAGCAAGTTTCTTTTTATTTTATTTTATTTTTTTTTTATTTATTTATTTTTATTACAGAGCAGTAGTGAGACCATAGGAAAAAACAAAACAGACAAACCACTGACCTGTAGTGCATGACCCAAAGCCTGATGATGCAAGTAAACTTTTAGGTCACAAGGCTGTCTCTGTAAGTCCTTACCAGTGAATATTAGGAGACCAGCTGGTGGTGGTAACACATCAGAGTTCTGGGTGCTGGCACAGCACCAGCTCTGTCTCTCTAGCATTCCTTCCCCATCAAGGGGCAGGATCCTGGGAGAGGACACAACCAGGCCAGATAATCCAAATTAACCAAAGAGATATTCCAGACTGTATTACATCAGTTCAGATATAAAAGGGGAAAGGAGGAGAAACAGGGTATTTGTTATTTTCCAGTGTTTGCCTTCCATAGTAACCTGTGTGCTGAAGCCCTGCTTTCAGAGAATTGGCTGAACATCCCTCACTGATGGGAAGTACACTTTAAACTAACTTTCCCCCTTGCTTATGCATGGGCTTTCACCTTTTTTCCTTCATTAAACTGCCCTGTCTCAACCCATGAGATGTTTTCCATCTTATTTTCTCTGCCCTCTCTCTCTGGGAAAGGGAGTGATAGATTGGCTTGGTGGGCACCTGGCATCCAGCCAAGGGCAACCCAATACTCTGCATTTGCATATCTTTTTTGTTGCTTTTATTTGAATGACATAGATATAGTGTGTATGTATATATATATATATATATATAAAATATGTATATGTATGGCTATATTACACGGACAATTAACAAGAGATAATTCTAAAATAATCTATGTGTTGAAGCTACACAGGTGTTTAAAAACATGCTAATCCAAACCTTCCATCTTAGTAACTGAGAACAAAAAGAATGACAATAAACTCTTAGAATTAAAATCTCAGACTATGCAAGGCTATAAAAATCATCATTAACATTCTCAGTTATATCTGAAAGCACATTCTAAGCCAGAAAGGAATTTAGTACTGGTGTCAACAGGATTGACATTTTTTTTTTGTTCTGCATTCAATTAGAGTAAAAAACCATAAGAGATGATGATCTTAACTTAGTCCAGAGTACTGAAAAGGAGATATCTTGGAAAATTAAGATTATCTCTAATTGTGAACACCTTGGCAAGTAAAGACATCTATTTCATGAAAGAGCTTTACAATATTTTTATTACAGCTTGCCTGCAATATTTTTATTTCTTCTGTTTTTCAGATCTGAAGATCTATTTTGATTCTTCCCAGAAGCCACAAAGAGAATACTCCACCAGACTTAACTTCAGTAGGTTGTGGCTATTATTATCAAAGGTTTATACCACATTACCTCACAATATTTAGATCAAGCTAAAGCTCCTAAATTTTAAGACATTACATAAAAAAGCCATTTCTAGACCAGAAAGTTAATTTGATATTGACTGTTGTCAATGCTCTACTCCAAATAATGTGTCTAGTCTGACAATAAAATGGCAACAGATAGAAGCTAACATCCTATTTATTTTCTATCCTAGAGTAAAAAAGTCTTATTTGACTCAAGTTTGCCATTGCCTTCTGACAAAAAGCACCTGAAAAGAAGAATACTTGTGTTTTCTATGCATAAAATTCAATAAAACAGAAGAAATAAGATAAAATGATAAAGTTATTTATTTTTCATGATGTTGCTTCATGTAAGCAAAAGCTGGGAGCCACCTGATATTTAAAGTTTGCAGCAAATTATGTCCCCAGATATTTTCAGTGGCTGAATCACCATCATTTTCCAGTTGTATACTGAAAATCTATCATATTAACTGTCACTTTCTATTATTAATTAAGATATGAAAAAGAACTCAGAAGTATTTCTTTTCCCTAAGCTTGACAATGAATGCAGGCCAAGTTTCCGTACTGAGATTTCATTCCTTCAATGGGATATGTAGATTGGTGAGAAGATTTAAACTAAACTAAAAACAATATGCATATAGCCTCATGCCACTGTCCTAGGTTTTCTTTTCTTGTAGCTTTTATGAAAGAGCTATATTTTCTTCAAAATTTCTTTCTCTACTCCAGACACTTTATCCAAGAAAATATTAAAAATAACAGAAACAGAAGCTTTATATGGTGCCCCTTGGAGCTGTAATCAAGCCGTTCCTAATAACTTCAAGAAAGAGCTGGAAACTGCTTGCCACAGTGCCTGGAAGCTGTGCACTGCCAATCATCTCTCCTAATTTAATGCTAGAATCATCCAACTCTCCAGCATGGAAGGGACACATCAGCAATGTGTTGTCATTAGGGCACAACAAAAAATTTAGATCTCTAGATATTTATACTTGGTTACAGTTGCACAAAAAAATACTCTGATTGACATTTGCAATGACTGTTATCTCAGTCTATTAAAAAGAGCAAAAACCCTCTCCTCCCAAATAGGGAGCCTAAGCAATACAGGTATTACAAAGATAAAGCCATGAAACAATTATATCATTCTACTAACAGGTTCCTTTTCCTATTAAAGAGAGCCTGTTTGAATAGAGAAATTTAAGTGATGAAATATCTTCAATTCCCCATAAAAATCTGCTAAAATGTTGAAATTATTCAGTTTTCACAGAATTGTCCTTAGATTTTTGCATAATTCCTATGAGGTTCTGGCCATCTTTAGCACAGAGCTTGCCTTCCCCTGTAAGCAAATACCTGTGAAACTCATTAAGTGAGTCTGCATCTGTCACATCTGTCTAGCATGCTAATTTTCATAATAGATGACAACTACAGGTACCTGTAGTTCTTTTGTATTAATTTATGTGATCCACAGAGTGGACCTAAATTTTCTACCTTTTAAACCCTGCATAAAATGCAAGAAGAGTCTTATAGTTAAAGCAATTACTTGGTGACCTAGGCAGCAGAGAACTTCCATGGGAATACAATTCTCTGATTGTACTTAAGTCAGAGAAACTCAGAGAACAGTTCCAACTACACATTTCTCATTTTCTAACTGTCTAACTTGAGTCTGTAGGGTCTGATTTATTAAAGTGCAAATGCAGTCAACAGAAACTGTGCTTTGAATGTAAAAAATGAAATATAAACACTCTTCAAAATGAGATACTACATTTGTTATACTGGACACTGAGAATTTATAGAAACTCTTGAATTTAATCAATCAAAGGGCAACAAACCTTATTTAATCCACTGGACATAGTATTCTGTTTATTTTACAGGACCTTATGGAAATAAAAATTCACAGTTTTATGTGAAAAAGACAAAATTCTGTGTGGAAATGGGGGAAATGGTACAAGATGAATAACACTGGTTTATGAAAAGCAGTTGAATGTAAGTCCATGTATCACAAAATGAGAAGATATTTTAATAAGAACTATGCTCAATCACACTGAAAAAAAATCTTTCATGAACATACAATAAATAATATAATGTGGCAGGATTAATAATTTACTTCTCAGTTTTCCATTAAAAAAATTAAATGCCTAGTTAGAGCTCTATCATGATTATTTTTTTCTTTTGCACTCTTTAATAAATATCATTTTTTTTTTATTTAAGAAAAATATTCAAGTTATATTTTGAATCACATAAAATTTAAAAAGAAATTAATTTACTGGTATTACAGATCAAATTTTTAATATCTTCTTCAAATACCTGACTCAATACACAAGGCGTGCATCTTTCTTTATATCTGGAGAGAATTAGGTAGTCTGGTGAGGGTGGGATATGCTTCTACACAGCTGTGAAGAAATGCAACAAGACATTTCTGTGATTCTATTTTAAGACTGTGAATTACAGTAATTTTGGTGTAGTTAGTTTCAATATATCACAGCAGAAATTTGTGCACTCCACAAAGTAAAAAAAATTAAATCTTTTCATTTAAACTGGATTCTCCTTAATTCAAAGATTTTCTGTTGCCTTGTGGTTCCTGATATTTGTTGTATTGTTCCTAGAAAATGTAGTTTTTAGATATTTATAGCCTTTAGGCAGCACAGAATACCAAATAATATAAAATAATGTAAAGTCAAATAAAATCCCTTGGTAGCATTGTGTCAGCTAGATTATTACACATTATACTCTAAAAAATAAATTTACCTTGCTCTGAATTAATCAGTGTTTACTACCTACATTAAAAATGTACTAAAAAACTTGTATGATTTAAGTTTCATAAGATTTTTGCTGTTTCTTTCCTTCAACAGATAATAAATGACAAATTAAATGGTTCAATTTACAAATAGAAATAATGTAGATATCTATATAAGAAGTTTATCTGAAAAAAAAAATCACTAGTACAAGATTCCAACTTTACTCAAAGAACAATATTTCACATTTTTATTTTTTAATATTGTGGTATTGAATATCAGTCTTAGATGACACTTCTGAAAGGTAAAGTCCTGTATTTCTTCAAAGAAAAAAAAAATATATGGCCTCTGTGCCCATGGTGTAAACATGCTTAGCAGTCCCTTGAGGGCCCAATCCAGCCCAGCTGGAGACAATGTCTGTTTTTTGATGGAATGCAGTGTGTAGTTGAATTGGACCTTAAGGGTAGGGCTGGCTAAAAAATGAGTTATATCAAACTCTAGAAGAAAAAGCTCTTCTGAGCCACAGTCCAAATCACGTCAGCTTTAATAGCCACTGAATCTGCCCTCAGCCCTGGGCCCTTCTGCAAAACTTACCAGCAAAGTGGTGTTTAGTGCAATACCAGTAGGGAGTACACAAAGAAAACAAAAATCACAATAAAATACAATGCAAAGGATAAATAGATTCTTTTACCTCCAAGAACATTGCTTTTCTAACCAAAGTCTTGAAATCCTTTTGATTTTCATCACTTGGTGCATGTGCCTGTAAATAGTACAAAGTGTGATACAGTCAGACATAATTGGAGAAGTCAACATGGATATTTCAGAATATGCAAATAAATTTCTCAGTGTAATGTGATTTTTGATAGAAAAACTTTAATATAGCTGCTAAAGTAAAGGAATATCTGCATAGGATACTGATGGCTGAATTCATTACTTCAATTAAAGCAACTAGCTCTACACAGCTCCACTTAGAGATGTAGAAGGCAGCAGCTCTGTTTGAACATTTCATTTTAATTGAGATAATATTGGCGTTCTCCCTATGAAAATCTTTAAAGGGAGAATAAAAAAAACCAAAGCATATTCTTCTTTTAATCATATGCAAAGAAGAGAGGAGAATAGTCTTAAATATGAGAGTAGAAAAGAATTAACAATCACATAAAATGATAGCTTTGTTATGCTGATTAAGACACCATGAATGAAGCTAGAATTCATCAGAAATTCATGCTATTCTCTTTATAAATGTCTGCAGAATGAGGTAAATTCAGGTTATAGTAACACAAGGAGATCTTGTGGATTTGGTTTTTATTTTAATTTATGAAGGGCTAGGAAAATAACATATTTTTTCACTAATCAGTGAGGGAAAAATCATTCTGCTTTTCCCTACAGCAAATTGGTAGTACTCATTGAATTAATCAACAATAATTCATGGAATAGTATCAGTTTAGGCAGATTTGCAGATGTTTTATGTCAGGAAAGCAATACAAACCAGATTAGTAGGCCTGACTCATGACTTCTAATGAACTTGACAGCAAATGGAACTAGCAATTTAGTGGCAGTTGAAGAGATAATGCTTTCTTACTGCTTCAATTTTTGCCTTTTCTTGAAGATACCTAAAATGTTTTCCAGGTATCAGAAAGAGTTCAGAAAACTTTTCTTTTCTGTCACAAGTGTGAGGAAAATATGCCATTCCAAGATTCCCTTCCTGTAATGGATGGGTTACATACATACGGTCTCTAAGACGAAAATTTTATCTTTCACAACAGACTTTTGCTAGAATTAATCCCTTGGGGATTAATTCCCACTATTTAATATCATCTAAGAGGAGTTTCTCTTTGCTGGTACACATTAAGTAAATACAATTTTATAACAATAAAGCAGATTCAGCCAAAGTAATAAATGAGCTTCCCCAAGGAAGAGACACTATTCCACTAAATGACACTGAGCAAGGAATCCAATAGTTCTCTGTGCAACCTGGAAGATAGTAATGCTTTAAAGACTGAAATTCAGCCTGGTGTGAATTGCTGTTCCACTTTAAAGGTCTCTAAATTGCCAGAAACTTTGCCATCGTAATTTTCTCCCTAAAAGGCATATTTCAATATGGGCACTATGGAGGGCTATTATGTGCTGCAGGGTGCTGGGTAAGCTGAGGTTGGAAAAGGCTCCCTCTGGTCTCACAGATGTCAGCAAACTCTCCCAGAACCACAGTAGCTTCAGGGATAAACAACAGAGACTTCAGCTCATTCTGCTCTTCTGATTTGGCCTGCTGTGAGTTTGTCAACCTCAGACATGAGCAAGGGGCAGAGATTACAATGACTTAGAAGTACCAGAGCATTGTGCTAGAAAGGGAGACAAGAATTCCTCTCATCAGTGAGGTTTGGGTAAGTGGGAGAATATTAAGTAGTTTTAGGAAATTTGGCTGGAATGCCTTTAAATTATAGCCACTGCCCAATATCAACCAAAACGAGAAAGCACATAGTGTTGAAAATTCTCTTCATTCCAGTGTGCAAAAACATGACAAAACACTGTTTCTCTGTCACTGGGAATATCAATCTGTTCATTGAGACTGTGAC